CCTGGGTTCGATTCCTCAGCACCACATAAGCAAAAAAAGCCAGAAGTGGTGCTGTGGCTCAAGTGGTAGAGCGCTAGCCTTGAGCTGAAGAGCTGAGGGACAGCCCCCAGGCCCAGAGTTCAGGCCCCACTACCGGACCCCCAAAATAAATAAATAAATAAATAGAAGTATTTTATTAGCATATTGTACTAGTTGTACATGGAGAGCTTTATTATGACATTTCTCTATACAATGTACCTAGATCAAACTCCTCCATCCCTTACCCATATCCTCTCTTCCACTTTCTTAAAACAATTTAAACAGGTTTTATTTTTCTATTTTCATATATACACAAAGTACTTCGACCATATTCACCCTCGTTCACCCTCTCCTCTCTCACTGGCTATCTCTGAACAGTTAGTTTTACTTTCCTGTGGTTCATTTTTTTCCGTGTATATTAATTTTACAATAGGGGCTTCACCATTGTTAATAGACTTCCTATATTTTCTTATGATAACAATCAATTTCAAAAAAAGAGGCAATGAAACATACACCTTTGAGATAATACCTTTCCTATCCAGCATATTTTGTCAAAGCACACTACTTGTCAACTCAGCAAGAACTTCAATAATAGAGACAACTCTGAACTACAGTACAGTGTAAATAAAGTTGTATCCACAATCATAACAGTTTCATAAATGGCACACTACATCCAAGAGAGTTTGTTATGCCATAGTTGCCATTGAAGCCAATTTACAGCAAATGAAGAGACTGCAAGGTTTACTGTAATAACATTATCCTGTCTTGAATGCAGATTTCTAGATCCCAACTAGAGAAATCAATTCAGAAGATATAAACTGAGATTGAAAACAGTGCCATATAACTGAAGTTCATTCTAGATCTATTTAAAATCATATGGAGTACCGAGCGCTAGTGGCTCATGCCTATAATCCTAGCTACTCAGGAGGCTGAGATCTGAGGATTGCCATTCAAAGCCAGCCAGAGCAGGAAAGTCCATGAGATTCTTTTCTCCAATTAACTGCCCAGAAAACTGGAAGTGGCACTGTGGCTCAAGTAGTATCCGAGGCCCAGAGTTCAAGCCCCATAACCGACCAAAAAAAAAAAAACACCACAAAAAACAAAATGACATATAGATCTTCCTGGAGCCAAGAAATACTTCCCTGATCAAAGAACCAAAGACAAGAAACCTTACATTGGTATCTGTGCCACTGTCTATAATAACCATAATGGCCAATTTTCCAGGATATACACTTAGAAATTGTTATTAGTGTTTGATGTAGTAATGATTTAAGAACATGCTCATCTTTCTTCCAAGCTAGGAAGATGAAATAGAAAATGTTAGTTCTTTGTGGGCAACTGACTTAGATGCCCCATAAAAGCCTTAAACTTGTAAATTAATTTTCAGAGCCTAACATTTAAGACTATATACTCTAAGTCTGATATGGCAATCAGATTTAGCTGAACTGAATAAAAGTCAAAAATTAAATTCTTGCTGTACTTAAGTTTCTTTTAATCACCTAAAGTTTGAATTTTTCCATTTGAAGATTTAATATTCAACTCTCATAGAACTGTTAAATGGTATTGTTTCTCGAGTGTGATATATAGTTGTTGAAAAATTGTGTGTGTGTGTGTATGTGTGCACATGGGCGTGCATGGTGGTACTGGGTTTTGAAATCAGGGGTCAGAGCTTGCTATGCAAGTATCTATTATTTGTGACATACCCCAGCCCTTTTTTGTTTTTGTGATTTTTCACTCAGGGTCTTGCATCAAATTTGCTAGACAACTCCATTGGATCCATGCTCCCTGCCTTCATTGCTTTAGCACATTTTCAAACAGAGTCTTGTTTTTGCTCATCCTAGCCTGTATCATGATCCTCCTATTTATGCCTCCAAAGTAGGTGCAATTACAGGCATGCGCTGCTATGCTTGGCTGCAAAACCATATTTGTACATTTAAAATAGGTACTTTCAAAGAAGACTATAATGTTAAACTTAATATAGATATAGATAATATGTGTATATATGAATATATAGCTGTGTATGTGTGCACGTATGCTGTGTACGAGCCTAGAACTTATGTTATCTGGCAAGATGAGAAGAGGGACAGGATGAAGATTAGAAATACTCACTAAGGCATTTAGGCACAGGAGTGCCCAAATGCAGCCCTGCTAGCTGCAGCCGTAGGAAGTGATATAAAGAAATTTTAAAATGTATTTTTGTATATGGCCATTGGTGTCTAGTTTGCAATGGAATTACCTAGAGGAACTGGAAAAATAGAGCTGGAGACTTAATTATATCAGAGAAGTGCCCCTTTCCAGATAATCAGAAGTTCCAGAGATTAAGATGTACTTTGGGGGAGGCTCTATTCAGCCAACTACACAAGCCAACTAGCCAGAGCAAAAGAAAGGTAGGTGAGGATAATGACTCTAGCATTAGAAGAACCATGTTCAAGGCAAGATGATAGGAACTAGCCAGTTCCAGCCACTAGTTAATGAGCAGCACAACTGAGTTTATGTGTTATCCTGAATTTCTGAATCAGGATTGTATAATCCCTACTAACCAGGGCACAGCTACATTCCTAGCCTGTGACAAAGCTAAGCTGCCCCAGCCCACCGGCGCTCTAGGGAAATTAGATGCTAGGAGTCAAGCTGGCCTACAAAGAGCTGCCAGACCTAATCACACAAATAAGTAGACTCATAAAGCGCTACCATGTATTGAACACCTCCTGTACATTTGGCACTTTACATTTATTATTGCCTCTTTTCATCATAACTTGCAATGTGGATATTGCAATATGAGGTCTCATTTAACATATGAGAAAATAGGCTTTTAAAGATTAAAGCTATACAGCTGGTAAATAGTCAAGCCAGAATTGAAACCTAGGCTATTTCAACTTTGACTCCAAAGTCCATTAGTTTTCTACTAAAACATGCTACCACTCCACAAGAAAATAACCTATCTCAAATTTCAGCATTCTATCTTCCCATACCTCCTCTTCTCTTTTGTGAACTCTTCATTCTTTCTCCTTATCTTGGGGTTCACAAGGCATGAAATGTCAAGCATCTGTTTTTCTACTCTAGGTTAAAAAAATACTTCAAAAGTTTCTATGCCAGAATCTCAGGTGTGGGTCTGGATTGTGAATGTTTCCTTTCTAGTGGCTGTGTCATATTTATCTTACTGCAATTATAGAAGGGGAGCCCAAATTTGCACACAATCTGGGTCTGCGTCTTGCACGGAATGTAAGACACAGATCTTTAATGACTGTATCCATTCCACTACCCTTTTCCAATAACCCCTCTGCCACCACTAAATGCAGGGTGCGAGTTACGTGTAGATGGTAATACCTAAATTCTTACAATATTAGTGTTCTCCAAAGTGACTCACAGTGCAAAGCAACACTGACAAAACAAGATTAAGGAAGTTGCTATTATACCTGCAGCTGGAAGCAGGAATTTGCGAGCTTTGAATACCACCTCCTACAGAGAGCCAAATGATCGTGCACAAATGTTTGTGAACAGCCTCGGATTCTTCAACTAGCTTGAATGCAAAACCTAAAGAATTTTGGATCTGGGGGGCAAGGTTGAATGGTACTTTAAACTCCTACTGTTTCAGTTGGGGGGGGGGAAGTATCAGGACTCAAGTATTAAGGAGTGTTAGCCTGATCTGACCTCTCACGTCGGGTCGTCTATACGATTTTTGAATATTTGAGTTGGGGAATTTAGCAATAATAATGACATCCTAGTGCAAGAGCTGAAGGACTGCAACCCTCCTCACCTAGTGAGCATCCTCCCAGCAGCTGTTTTGAATAATTCTTAGTAACTGGAAACTGAAGAGGGGATTGTTTTCTCGCACAATCTCACACCAACATAAAAGTCAGTGTGACAATCATTTCCGAATAATTTCCTGGTGACAATTTTTAAATTGGTTTAAAAGGTATTCTTTTCTTAAAAAAATAAATAAAAATATGTTCGGAGCATTATCGTGTTTGCACTCAGCTGGAGAACGTCCTAGGACACAGGATGTAAAGTACCCTTGTTCAGGCAGGCTGTGCTCATTGGAGGACCACGTCATCAGGAGAGTCTAGTTCGTGGGATTACTGCTTGGCGGATTAGAAATCCTGCAGATCAGTTCTAGGTTAGTCCTGATTAGCTGCCAGGGTGTTTCTGGGCCAGAGAGGGAGTCTGCTGTTGGACTCAAACTCACACTCGTGGCTAAGAGTTCACTTCAAAGAGAGTTAATTTTTAATTAAATTCAATCCGGGCTAATAATGAAGCTACCAAGAAGGATCTGGAATGTTGACTAAACGGTGCCCGCAACCGCTTCGGCCGAACCTTCTGCCCCAACAATTCTATCTGCCCACATGCTTCTGTCTGTCAGCCTCGGCCTCGCGATCAGTTCTCGCCCTGGCATTGGCTGGGTTTCAGGAAGGGAGAAACCCCCGATTTAAAGGGCTCAGTTTCCATCAGCCAGCATCGTCCACATGCGTTGGGCACGTAGATGAGAGAATGGTTTGCAGTTTTTCATCTATTACACTAAGGGGCTAAAGAAAAAAGGGTCCCCGAAAGTGTCCCCTTCGTCACCTTGACAGTTTCCAAAAGCGAAACTTGCACTCTAAACTAGATCCACACTGAGTCTGCGGAACTCGAGTCCCTGCCCAGGTCAGCGGTGCCTGCCCAGCGGGCGGGAGGGGACGAAGGCGTGGCCTGGTATGGGCGTGGCTTTCCGTGGGAGAGAAGGAAAACGGTGCCACCCCTTAAAAAAAAAAACAACCCTTGCTGTGGTCCCACCCAATCAAGATGGCTTATGCAAATAGACCCCCTCCACCCCGGTCGTCCCGGTAACCGTAATGTGAGGCAGCCAATGGAAGCCAGTGAGTCGCGTCTCTGCTCCACAATTGGTACCGTAGTAAGGAGACGGAGGCCCAATGGGCTGTGGGAACGGTCCTCGAAGGGTTGAGGGGCGGGGACATGCAAATGTAGTTTGAAAAGCCGGCGGGAAATCTGAGTTTCGCGGGAGGACCTTGGCGCGTAAACCGTATCCCTTCATTCATTGTCAGCAGCAGCTTCCTGGAGCCATTTTTCAGCTGCCGGCCGCAGCACCCGGGCTGCCGCCACCGCCTCGCAATCCGTTGCATCGGCTGCCCCCGACGCCTCCATCCCCCATCGGGGTCTGATATCCGTGCGGCCGGGACCCTCCTCTCTCCAGAGCCCCGATTATTTTTGGCCCCCGGGGCCTGTTCGGTACGGAAAAATAAAGAGAGAGAGAGAGGGGGCTCGGAAGCGCCGGGCTGGGAGGAGAGAAGGAGGAGAGACTTGGAAACTCCGACTGCAAATAATAAAAGAAATTGAAAGCAATAAATTAATATATCGTAACACTAAAAAGAGCAGGAACGAGAGATGAGAAAGGGGATCCAGCCCGCCCTGGAGCAGTACCTGGTGACCGCCGGGGGTGGGGAGGGGGCGGCTGTCGTCGCCGCCGCCGCCGCTGCAGCCTCCATGGACAAAAGGGCACTGCTGGCCAGCCCGGGTTTCGCCGCCGCCACTGCCGCCGCCCCGGGCGCATACATCCAGATTCTCACCACGAACACTACCACCACCTCCTGTTCCTCTTCCCTCCAAAGCGGCGCGCTCGCCGCCGGCCCCCTCCTCCCCAGTGCCCCCGGCGCGGAGCCCACCGCCGGCAGCCTCCTCTACACCACGCCACACGGACCCTCCAGCAGAGCCGGGCTGCTGCAGCAGCCACCAGCGCTGGGACGCAGCGGCGGCGGCGGCCCTCCGGTAATACCCTCCCTCCCCGGCCCAGGTGGGAGGTGGGCTCGCCCGGCGTGGGGTGGCGGGCGCGCGCTACGAGGCCGCTCGCTGGGCAAGAGCGCGTGGCCGAGCCTCGTGGGCCTCGGCGGGCGGCTGTCCTTCCAGCGAGGACTTATTGTTAAAGACTTGTGTATGTGTGTTCTCTTCCCCACCCGAGTTGCCGGGAGGGTCGGGGGTCCCAGCCGGGCGCGTGGGGCAGCGGGGATCGCCTCGCCATCCACCACATCAAACACCGCAAAACTTTTCGCAGCCCCCCCCCTCCACTTCTTTTCCTGCACTTTTCCCTACCCCCCACTCTTCCCTCCCCTCCAACTCGAAGCTTCCTCTTTCTCGGGCGTAGGAAGGGGTCACGCCCCGGATGGAGAAGGGGGTGGGGGAGGGAGAAGTGATCTGAAGAGTAGGGGACCCCAGGGGTTGGAATCTAGCGGGCGTGGGGGGGGGGAACCTGTAGACGTGATCCTCACTATCAGGGCCCCGAGGCCCACGGGCGGCCGGGGGTCCCCGAGGCGTGCTTGGAGCGCCGGGGCTCTGCTGGGCTGCGCTTGACACTTGGGAGTGCGGGTGGAGGGGGCAGATCTAACTCCTGGCAACAAAGGGGATGGGGTAGCCTAAGGGGAGTCGGGCATCGGAGAGGGGGGGACTGGAAGTGGGGTGCTGGGCCGGGGCGTGGGCTGTGTGGGGTGAGGGGCCAGCGGGCTGCTCGCAGCTCCGGCCTGGGCGCATCCTAGTGGTGGCAGCGGCGGCGCCCGCGTGGCCCGCGCGCCGGGGCCTTGCACACCGGGCCCGGGGCCTGCCCTTGACCCGCCTCTCCCCTTGCCCCTGCCTTCTCTCCCCACCCCCCCTCCTCCGCCCGGTACCCCTCCCCGCCCCCCAGCGACGGAGGGCGGGGGCAGCCGGGTTCCCGTCCCGCCGCCCGGGTCTGTCCCTCTCTCCGGGACCCGCCGGTGACGTTTCGCACACGTGCGCGGAGGACGCGCCTGTGACTGGGGAGGAGGCGGCGGCGGGAGGGGGCGCTGGAGGGGGAGAGGGGGGCACCCACTTCCTCCTGCTCGCCGGCTCCCTGGCCTGGGACGGTCCCGGCGCCCTCGCACCCGCCCCCGGTACCGCCACCCTCCCTCTCCTGTCCCCTCCCCCTCCCCCGGCGCCCGCCCTCGCCCGGCGCCGCGGGTCTGTGCGGCCCTCCGGGCCCCCTCTCCGGCCGGTCCCCCACCTCCCCCCCGGAGCCAGGCGGTTTCGGAAATGCCCTTACAGCAGCAGGTTAGTGACCGGGACGGCTCGGGGGGGCCGCTGCCGCCGCGGGGGTTCGGGGTTCGGTGGGAGGCTGAAGCCGGGAGGGTAGGCGGTGGAGCGGGGTTTTGGAGTGGGAACGGGGGGTTGGGTGCTCGAGGGAAATGAGTAAGCAAGAAAAATCTAACTAAGTAAATGCCCCGGCCTCGGGTTTTGGGAACCCCCCCGGCGGGAGTGATCGCCCCGGGGGGTGGGCTCGGTGTGGACGCGTCTTTTTTTCTTTTCCTCGGGGGCGGATGGATGGGCGATTGAAAGCCGGAGGGGGGGGCTCCTCGCCCAGGGCCGAGTTGGGCTCTGTTTCCTTCGGTCTTCTTCCCTTGTGCTGGAGGGGGAGGGGGGCAGGTCAGAGGGTAGGGTTGTCGGTAGGGTTCCCAGGCCACCCGCCACCCCCTCCCTTTGTCCCTGTCATTTATAAAGCGCCTTTGAGAGATGATTTAGGTCAGTCTGCGGCTTCTCTTTTTGTTGCTACTAGAAAGAAGTGTGGCTGGGAGGTCTCCCCCTTTCTCCTTTTTTCTCCTTCATTCCTCCATACCTCCTGGTCTTCACCCTCGTGGCTGAGGCTTGGCCCGACGAGGCTAGAACCGAACCGGACTCCGATGAATGGGTTGTTTGCTCGATAATCCAGCCGTGGACCTCACCTCGTCTCAGCTCCAAATGGGTTTATTTTATTTTATTTTTGCAGAATCAAGGTTTTTTTTGCTGGGGTCTTTTAAGAAAGTATGTATATAGGCGGCAGCACTTTGGGGGAGGGAAAAAAAAACTGGGATGAGTTTGGGAAGTATTAAAAATGTTTATTTGCTTCCTGTTTTTAATTTCCCCCCAGGGTTGAATCATAACTGCTTTCCATCTTCAGAGAGACTTGATTGTGGATGTGTGGTACAGTTTCAAGTCAGACGCTCATAGCTTCTTTAGTGACTAGGGTCTGCCAGCAGGGGGGAAACTGAGTATAGTACCTGCTCACACATACAGTATCCAGTGTGCTGGATTCTCAGTCACATTTTATGCTTATATTAGCATTAAATGCTCGTGCTGGCTTGACCTAACCATGCTAGGCTATATTTCAAGCATTTATTTACCCCACCCCCACCCCCCACAGTCCTGAGACTATATCATAAACCTAACTTGAAACAAGCAGCTATTGACATACGTCTTGGATTGGATTCAGATTTATAGAGGGAGTAGTTTTGATAATGGGAAATTGTGAGACCACTGAATTATTTTTTAATCTTAGAGCGCCTTTTGGACCAGGTCTCCAAGACGGTCTAGCCAAATTTATGTGTAGTTCACTGTATTTAAAGTCTAAAAATTTTAGTACCATCCAAATTATTTCGAAACTTTAGCCTCCTATCCATGAGGTTATTATACTAAGAATGTATATATATTCACTTGGACTCGGACACTCCAAAATATTTTTTCATTACAGCAATATAAATATAACTTATACATATTCAGAAGCATTTTTACATAAGGCTGTAATGTATGCTGAATCATTGGTTAATCCATGCTTTAGGAGCTATTTGTTCTGGGGAGGGAGGGAGGAAATTATCCAGTCAATCCATACAAAGTCCTAGGCAGTGCTTATAAAGTTTGATATTCTTTTTCTTTAAATCAAAACTATTATGCTTCTAGTTAAATCTTGGAGTTATACTTAGATTCTTTCCCTGAGCAGGAACTACAAGATAGGATCCTAAAAATGATTGCCCAAAGATAAGACCAAAGATAAGTGCTTTGTAGCCAAGAAGTGGTTGGGAATTCTTTGGGTCACCAGAGTTGCATTCCCATCTGATTCTGTTTCCAAGTTCTGTCTCAGGGACATCCAAGAACCAGGAGCAAAAACCGCACTTTCTTTTCTGTAAAATAGGGGCAATAATACTACTACCTTTAAGGTTCTTTTTGAACTTAATGGTAACACAGGGCCTAGCAAATAATGGATACCTAGTAACATTAGTAATCAGATACATATGTGTGTATACATAATTTACATTATACATGTAAATAATCTTTCTATCTATATGGCACGCACAGTCCCTTTGCATATCTGAGCAGAATGGTTCAAAGTTTCCTAAAGTGATACATTATTAAGCATACCTAAATAATCTATATTTTAGAATGTGTAAAGCGTAGTTATCCTAGCCGTGGGTAAAATGGGGACATTTCAGGAAGATGTGTGTATAGAAGTGGTGGTAGGGGACTTCTGAACCTGTGCCTTGGGTCAGCTCAAATTCATCATGTTTTTGCCTGAGTTCCATGCAACTGCTAACTTTCGATGCAGTTTCTGCCCAGTGGCTTTTGTTAGAACTAAACTTGCCAGCCTTCACTATGCTAGAGACATGCACTGCATAAATTCAATGTGGATTGGTCAAACTTGCAAATGGACACACTCCAAAGAAACTGAGTCAAAAAATGTTATTCCCTGGACCAGACCAGTTAGGATTCATATCTTCTGCCTCCTCATTTTTCTAGAAAGAAGCTGAAATGGTTTCATCTTTCCAGAAAATTTGAGATCAATTATTAGGGCAAGAGGCAATGTCCTGTCATATCAGCTTTAATCCAGTCATAGCAGCCTGCTGATTATACTTTGAGAAACAACCCTCAGTGCTTGAAATATTCATTTAAGAATGGAGAAGCCATAGGTGCTATTTCAGCAGGGTCTCTTTTCCTGCACAAGTACAAAAGAAGAAAAATGCTGGGTTCCTGTGGTTCTGTACTCAATAATCTTGCTTCTGCTGAGATGTATGGACGATGCCAAGTGTGAGCTGGGAGAGAATTTTCAGTCATTTCATACCCCAAAATGGAAGTTTTAATATAATGCAGTGCCCAGACTTGGGCAGTACAAATAGCTTCTCTATAATCAGTACCAAGGGCGCCACCATAATCATCCTGAGACAAAGCACCCTTAACTGAGGCACTGAGAGAGAGAGAGAGAGAGAGCACCTCAGCTTGCGAACAGGAAAGGATTTCTCCTTTCTCTCTAAATCACCACCTTGTGTAATACTTGGAAGAAGGGTGGGTTCTGAGATTAATGTGCTATATAAAGCAAAGTTGAAAACAGAAAATAATACTCTAAGCTTAGACATGAATAAGTACCAACACCTGGAGATTGAAAGGCAGAGGAAAGCTATCTTGTGGTTTCTCAAAGATAAGAAACAGTAGTTTTCCTTTAAACTCTTAGGTCTTAGTTGACAACCTTATACATACAACCACCCACCCTTTTCCCAGTGACTTGGACGTGTCCTGCTAATAACTTTTAAGTATTCAAGTTAATTTTCTGGCTAGTTTTCTCATTTAACCTGATTTCTAAATACCCCGTTTTCCTTTCTTAAGCTAACCAATTCCCAGATCCTTTTATCTACCTTTTTTTTTTTTTTTTTTGGGTAGCACTTGAATTTGAACTCCTTTGCTTGAAAGGCTTTGAACTCAGGAGCTTTGGTTTGCTGGGCAGGCGCTGTACTACTGAGCCGAGCCTCCAGCTCTTTAAGATAGGGCCTCATTTCTGCCTTATTCGTCCATCAGGACCACTATCGCATTGTTTTTGTTTTGGGATGTTGAGATAGTCCTATGGGCATTCCTACCTGGGCTGGCTTGGTTCTCGCCTCCTCCACAACTAGGATAATAAGCATTTAGTACCACACCCAACTATTAGTTAAGAAGGAAGGAGTCACTTCAACTCTTCCGCCCAG